ATATACTCAGCAATGAGATTGCTGGGTCAAATGGTATTTAGGTTTTAAGTTCTTTCCAAAATCACCAAACTGCTTTGAGTAACTGAATCAGCTTCATGAAGAAATTCTTAGAAAGAGACAAATCCTCATCGGCCAGGAGTTCGGATCAGCAGAAAATGGGACAAATCGTTCACGACCAGCACCACCACCTGATGTGATAAATGCACAAGAAGGTGCTATAAAAACTTTAAAGCTCCATCTAAATATTAACCCAATGAGACTTGCCAGAAATCTGGAACCAGAAGTTAGGGCCTACATCTGGATTCAATGGCAGGAAATAAAGACACATGCCTTATACCTATTTGATGATTAATGCCTATCTAGCCCAGAATAAAAAAATACCCTTTCAAAATCATCAACTCCTAGGGAAATATGTTTTATCTCTCTGAACCAATGACAATTAATTCTCCTGAGTTCAAATGGTCTGGGGCCAAGTCTGTTTCACAAACAAATGAATACTCCAGACAACTTACCAAGGAAAACTTAAGATGTATTTATGTTTATGTGTGTACACACACACACACACACACACACACTCATGACTCTCCACAGAGCCTCCTAACATAGCACGGGTGACAGGCATAACTGTCTTTTTCCCGTTTTCAAAATTAGCAGGAGCAGTCGTAGGCATTCCAGAGCGGAAAACTGTCCAGTGAGAGAAACTGCCTGCCAGGATTCTAGAATAATCTCTGCCATCTCTCAGTCAAAGAGTACGTAATAGAATTTAAAGTCATATACACTTTTACTCAAGCAAAGAAAAGGTAGCGTCTCATTTTTTACAACTAATGGGCTTTCTCATCAGCCTCCACCATGCTGGGATACCGGGGGGTAGTCAGAGTGAAACCCTTTCAAATTTTTATGTACTGTTGTCTCCTTCTCTCACAGTCTCTTAGCAACTGGCTCTGTCTCTTGGGTAAATATTCAGCCTTTTGCTTATCCATGGCGGTGGCCCAGGCAATGGGCATATGGATGAGGTTTGGGGCCTGCATGAGTTCTTTGAGTCTTCACTAATGTCTGCTCTAGAGCCACCAGCTGGCTCTGTTTCCTGGTGCCTGGTAGATTCTGCTATGGTGTGTCTGGAGAGATTGTACTTACTCTTTTGTGGGTCAGTGCCTGATGGGTATGTGGGCCCTTTATCCTTCACCCCAACCCCAAGTCTCTTCCAGGGTCATGTCTGTCTCTTAAAGAGCTGTTTGTGTTATGGCCTTTGCAGTAGGGTGGCACCCATTTACCATGGTGGCCCCGGAAGCAGGCATCAGCCCCCAGCAGAGCTGGTGATCATGGACCTCCCCTGTGGCCTCCAGCACTCCAGTGTGCTAACCAGGCTCCCTCTGCCCTACCATAGCACATCTGGCTCTGTGATTGCAGCCACATCCGACCAAAGTTCAAAACAGTGAACAGCTCCTTTGCCTTTGGCTGTCCTCTCAGCCCTAAGTCCTGAGAGATTTCAGCCTGGAGTGGAGCCATGATGCCCCCACACCCATCTACCTGCCTCTCTCTCCCATACTCTGCTGTAGTCATCAGACATCTTTTTAAAAATAGTTTGATCAAGATATAATTTAAATACAATTCACTCATTTAAAGTGTACAATTTAATGGTTTTGGGATATTCACACATTGTGCAACTATCGCCATGGTCAATTTTAGACCATTTTCACCAGTGCAAAAGTGAATCCCATAGCCATTGGCAGTCAGCCCTCCTTTCCATTCTAACCCCAGCCTTGGGCTACTATGAATCTACATTCTGTCCCAATAAGTTTTTTCAACAATTTGCATATTCTAGGCTAGGCATGGTGGCTCATATCTATAATCCCACTGCTGCCAGAAGCCAAGGCGGGAAGATCACTGGAGGCCAGGGGTTTACAACCATTCTAGACAACGTAGTGAAACTCTGATTTTACAAAATTTAAAACATCAGCCAAGCCAAGCATGGTGGTGTGTAGCTATAGTCCTGGCTACACAGCAGCTGAGGTGAGAGGATCCCTTGAGCCCAGGAGTCTGAGGCTGCAGTGAGCTGTGATTTCACCACTGCACTCTAGCCTGGGCAACAGAGCCAAACCCTGTCTCTAAAAAGAAAAAAAAAAGATAATTGCAGAAGGAAATAATTTAAGACATTGATACCTTCAGGTCAGTTTGTTAGTGAAACATTAATTCTGTATGAAGAAGATTATCCCAGTGAATTCTGACAAAACATCCTGTTCTAGAGATGAGAAGACAGAGGCTTACCCCAGTGAGAGGGGCCAGTGCATTGTATGGGAGGATGCTCACTGTAGCACTGGGAAAATGGCCACAGAAGAGACCCTGTGGAGGTCCCACAGCAGAGAAAGGCTGAATTGCTGTGGTGAGCAGCCTGGCTTCCAGCTGTGTAGGACACTGAGGGCCCAGGTCTAAACCTGCATGGCTGTGGGCAAGTCTTCCTCAAGACAGCATGGCGGGGAAATGGGCCCATAGCATAATTCCCTGTCCTTTTGGGGTAAACAGCGCTACTACTCATGGTAATGCATGAGACTTGAAGATGGTGTGGGACCACAGCCAGGCCACCTGTTACAAGGACAACTAGGAGAGAAGTCAAAACATGGTACAATAGTGAGATGCCAAAATAATTATGGCCTGAAGTAAAATAGTATAAAATAATATCTTTTCTGATAGTCCAAGGAACACATGGAACAGATTCTTTGCACCTGGCCAAGGAGAGGGCTGGGCAGTGAGGTGGTGTTGAGGAGTGTAGTGTGATGAGTCCCTCAGCAGCTTGCCTAAGGCCATTACGTCCACTGCTCAAGACTTGTGTGCTGGTCAGTGAGCCAAAGCCATGACCTCACCGAGAAGCAGGTGTTCCTGAGAACCCGAACATCCCAGAGAATATCTGAGAACCAAAAACACAAACAAACTTATTGCTCCAACACAGTAGGCAGATCCAGAACATTAGCCTAAAAGCAGTTGAGAGGTGGGAGGCAGTACATGTCTCTAGAGCTGTCCTGCTGCCATCCAGGTGTGCCCTGCATGCAAGTCCTATCAACTCATCTACTTGTCAAACTGAGCTTGTCCGAGGCAGTCTTTGGGCTAACAGCACCTTCTGTTTGTGGGGACACATTACAGTCCCAAGTTTTTCTGGTAACATGGAGGACATGGGGCCTAGATGCCAGTGGGAGCAGAAGTGCAGCCTTTTCCAGCAGCAAAGCCCTGACAGAGCAGGTTAGGGAGGCATCTGGGCCCCAGGGCCCTCTCTGAGAGTGTAGACCCTCTCTGCACCCACACTCACCGGCAGCTCTCTTGATCCCTGTTTGCAGTGAGGGGCCTCTGTCCTGGTGAAGGGAGCTGGAGCAGAGGACCCCACTGAGCAGCTCCTGTGGATCTCCTGCATGGAGCTCTGCAGTGACAGTTCCCACAGCAGATCAAAAAGCACAGAGCCCTCCCTGCCATCGTCCAGGCTGTTCATGCAACTGGTGACTTTCTGGCCCCCAGGCCACACACAGATCCTTGTGCAACAAGGACTTTTACCCAAGAAGGAAGAAAATGGCCACCTGAGGGTCGAAAATTCACTTTGGAGAAGATGAGAGCGGCCCAGCACTCACCTTCCCACCATGCCAGGCAGGATCTGGGGTGTGACTGTGGCAGGACCTCGAGGATGACACCGCTCATTCATCTGCTCCTGCCCAGGGCAGATCTCCTCTCACATCCCTACTCTCCTGCACTCAGGCAGAGGGGCGTTGCTGTCCAGGCCTGCTCACAGGGATGGCCTGCCCTGGACTGGCCTGCCTTGGCTGCCTATGTTTCCTTTGGGTGTCTTTGGAAAAATGGCTTGTGGTGAGGGCTGATCCCACATCTGTAGCATCAGGAAAGGCTCTCATGCCAGGGTTTCCTGAGGCTACAGCCTGGATAAGTCAGCAGGTTGCTCTCTGGCCAAGTGCTCTGGGGCAGGAGCTGTTTCTAAACTGTGGGTGCCTGATTACAAGCATTTCAAGTTCTATTGGGGCCTATTGCCAAGGAAATGAGGTCACTTCCTGAGGTCACCTTACCTGGCACCTTCTCTGACAATATCCCAGATGGTTCTCTTGGCTGATGTTTCACCTCCTACTCTATGACATCCCACATCTGTGCACAATTACAAAAAGATTACCTCTCTACAGCTGCTGTGGAAGGCCTGGGTACAGCCAGGGTCCCAGCTCTGAGGGACAAACCTGGGTTTAGACCCAGCTTCTCACCACTTACATGACCTTGGATAAGGTACTGGGCCTCTCGGGGTCTCCCCAGGTGTGCTCCTGCACAATGAAGATCCTTCTAGCACCTGCTTCCTGGGGCTGTCCTTGGGCATGTGTGAGATGATGCTTACAAAACCTGTGGGCTGCACTACTGAGTATGTGTGAGAGGAAATGAAGTCATTATGCAAAAAGATACTTGCACACACATGTTTATAGCAGCACAATTTGCAATTTAAAAAATGTGGAACCAGCCCAAACACCCATCAATCAATGAGTGGATAAAGAAACTATATATGCATTATCTATGACAGAATACTACTCAGCCATAAAAAGGAATAAATTGATGGCCTTTGCAGCAACCTGGATGGGATCGGAGACTACTATTCTAAATGAAGTAACTCAGGAATGGAAAGCCAAACATTGTATGTTCTCACTCATAAGTGGGAGCTAAACTATGAGGATGTAAATGCATAAAAATGGCATAATAGACTGAGGGTTCCAGGGGAAAGGGTGGGAAGGGGGTTAGGGATGAAAGACTAAACATCAGGTTCAGTGTACACTGCTCAGGTGATGGGCACACCGAAATCTCACAGATCACCACTAAAGAACCTACTAATGTAATGAAGCACCACCTGTTACCTGAAAACCTATGGAAATAAACAATTAAAAAATAAAAGAAACCTGCAGGCCGGCATCATGTGTAACCAATGCACAAAATTAGAGATAAAATAGAGGAAGGGTTGAGATGTAGCATGGAATACAACTGAAAGCATGCCTGTGTTCCTGCTGTGTAACCTTGGAAATGTCACTTCCTCGCTTGACCTCATTTTCCTGTCTGCACATTCTCCTGTCATGCTCCATACAAGTCTTGCTGTGACTTCCCTTTACATGTAGATTCAAATCCACATGCCTCATCTCAGCCTCCTTAGTGGCTGCCACAACCCCCACCTCCTAGTTTATGCATCACATGTAACTTCTTTCCCATGAATGTAGACTAAACTTATTGCCTCACTTCTAACAATGGAATATGGCAAAGGCCATAGATATCTCTTCCAGGATTCAGTTATGAAACAACCGTAGCTAATGTTGCACTCTCTTTCTTCTTCTCTCCATATTTATCTATTTCTCTCTCTCTCTCATGTGCCCTAGGACCTCAAGAGGGCAACAGATGGAGGGGCCCTCAGGGCCTTTGCATAGACTGAATTCTCCCAATGAGCTTGGAAGTGGATCCTGCCCCAAATGAGCCCCTATTGAAACAGCAGCCCCAGCCTTAAGTGACAGCTTATGGCAGAAGTGCCCAGCTGAGCTCTGCTGGGTTCTTGAGCTACAGAAACTGATGAGATGATGAATGTTTCTTGCTGTAAGCCCCTGTGTTTGGAACAATGTTTCATATAGCAATAGATTCTCTAATGCAGTCTACCTGCTCAGAATCTGCCACTGCCCTTCTTCCTTCCTCATCTCAATCGCACTGGCTGCCTTTCCCACCTTCCTCCTGGCCAAACTCGCTTCTGTCTTTGAATCTCTGTGCAGTTGAACCTTTCCCCAGCATGCCATTCCCGGACTTTTGGAGGGTTGATTCCCGCTTGTCATTCTGCTCCCAGAGCAAATGTTCCCTTACTGAGGCCCTTTCAGATCCCCCAGGCAGAGGTCCCCAGATCTCCCTTACAGCAGCCTAATTTATTTCTAGACAGCACTTGACCTTTTTTCTTACCTTTATAGTCATATGCTGTGTGAGGACATTTCAGTCAATGACAGACCACATATGTGATGCTGGTTTCGTGATGCTATAATGGAGCTGAAATATTCCTATTGTTCAGTGACGCCATTGCCATAGTAATGTTGCAGCCCAAGGTATGACTCACGTGTTTGTGGTGATGTTGGTGTAAACAAACCTCCTGTGCTGCAAGTCATATAAAAGTAGAGCCCATACAATTACACACAGTGCACCATGCTTGATAATGGCCATCCACTACCATTTTGCTGGTTTATGTATTTATTGTACTATACATTTTATCACTCATTTAGAGTGTACTCATTCTCCTTATAAAATGTATTTATTATGTATGTATATATGTATGTATGAGACAGGGTTTTACTCTGTCACCCTGGTGAAGTGCATTGATATTGTCATAGTTGACTATAGCCTTAAACTTCTGGACTTGAGCAATCTTTCCATCCCAGCCTCCCAGGTAGCTGGGACCACAGGAGCATGCCACCTGCCCAGCTAATTGTTTTCTTTTCAGAGAGACAGGTTCTCACTATTTTACCCAGGCTGGTCTTGAACTCCTTGCCTCAAGTGATTCTTCTGCCTAATCCTCCCAAAGTTCTTGAATTATGGGTGTGAGTCACCACACCTGGTCTAGGTCTCTATTTTTAAAAGTTTTCCCAATTATAATGCATATCTCTCTCTCTCGTATTTTTTTCTAAGAGCTTTATAATTTTAACTTTTGCATTTAGAGGTACAATAAACTACAATCAATTTATGTGTATGGCCTGAGATAAAAATCAAGATCTTCTCTGTGTGTGTGTGTGTGTGTGTGTGTGTGTGTGTGTGTGTGTGTGACTGTCCAGTAGGCTTGGCACCACTAGTGCCAGTATCGACATTATTTACTTACTGCACTGTCAACTTTGTCATTAATAGGTTGGTCATGTATATTTTGTAAAAGTAGTTTTTAAAAGGATTATGTTTTAGTTGAAGGTTAATTGGCAGTTTCATATGGGTAAAACCCCTAGTTTTGTTTGTTCTGTTTTTATTGCATTCTGGATTTCTTTCACAGAAACATAAAGCACCAAGACTGCCACTGTAATGGCCTCCCTGATAGGATTTTAAAATACTTGATTTTATTTATTTTACATATTTATTATGTATCCATTGATCCAATTCTTAGAAGTTGGGTCTATTATTTCTGTTCCATTGGCAATATTTACATCTAATAACTGTTCACAGCACATCTGCTATCTTATTTCATGTGTGATTCAGTAAACATCCAGGCATCAAATATGATATTTATAAGCCCCTACTATTTTTTTATTTTCTATAATGATAAGTTTGCAACAATGCATTGTCTATTTTAGAAAATTTCTTTTTTTTTTTAGACATATGAGACAGCACCTTGCTTTGTCACTGAGGCTGGAGCATAGTGGCATAACCACAGACCCCTGCAACCTCTGCCTCCCAGGTTCAAGCAATTCTCATACCTCAGCCTCCCAAGTAGCTGAGACTACAGGTGATTTCATTTTTGATTCTACTTTGTCAGGAGTTCCTTGACCACTCTCAGAATTGATGACAGCTAGAAAAGCTCAAAAGACTTACAAAGACAGTTACATTTATAGTTACAATTTATTAAATAGAAAAGATAGCTTTTTTATGTTAAAATTAATTTCTTTACTGATATAGTTAAATTTTAAATCCTGAGAAGAAAAGAGAGAAGGGAGAAGGGTGCTGGGTGTCTGGCACCCTCAGCTACTGGCCCAGCACACACATGGCATCCGTGCATCCGGACACGGGGTGTGGCATGCACACTCGACTGGGGAGATACAGGCCAGTGTTCCCAGAGCCTGCTCATGGTTCCTTCTACTGCAGGACAGCAGAGGGGTCAACAGCCAGCAGTGATTGTTGCTATGGAGCGGGCATCTGTTCTTTTGGATAGGATCAGGAAAGGCTTCCCCTGTGAAGCCAGAGTGGTGGCGAGGATCCTGCCCTAGTTTCTAAAAGATACAGAGTGTATTTAGGAAAGAAAATAGGAGGTAGGAAAGGTTCCAGTAGAGAGCAAGTGCACACCTCCAGTTGTCCTGTCACAGCGGAGTCACACAGGCAGCACACAGTTTTCCCAGTTATAATGTGACATGTGCAAAGTTTTGCCAAGTAGGGAAATCAACAAGAGTCTTGCTGTCCAAAGTATTTTCTTGGGCTTTAATCACATAGGCATACAGTGGGCACTTGACTGGCTCTAGCTATGCAGTCACCATTTCTATTGCAGAGGTCAGACTAATACAGCATGGCCCAGAGATCCATGAGTACAAAAACGGATATTCACTACCCCTTACATGGCTAGAATAAAATACATGTTGTTGTCTGTTGTTGTCCAAGACCTCAAGTGGACGAAGACAATCTTCTTTATCAGGCAAAATTTTCCAAGGCCCTGGAGGTATCCTCCACGGGCAAGTGTAGAGCCAGTTCTGAAGACCTTTAAAATGTATATGCTTGGGGAAGTCTAGACCTATTAAATTAATATTTCATTGCAGAGCTTTATAAAGGTAAAATATAACTATCATTGGTGCAGGATATTTTCTATTGAATTATTTCTTTGTCACAAGGCCTAAAGCAGTCAACAGTTCACTGTTGAATGAATAAATGATTTCCAGGTACTTGTTCTCAGGCATGGAAATGTTCAAGACTGAAATAGGAAGTTCTTGGTGATGCAAGAACTTCCTTAAACTAATCATTTATTCACTCTCTATTCAAACTATCAATGCTTAAAATATGCACAAACAAGCAAATACAACTATTAATGGAGATGAGCTAATAGCTCAGAATTCTGAATAAAACTACAGCCAGATATTTACCTTGTTCTATCTCCAGCTAAGGCTGATCACTTTTGGCTGTCCATGTATGAGGAACACTAAGTACAAATTACATGTCAAACGTGTTAAAAATATTCCATGATACTTGTTAAAGCATAATAGGAAACCCTTTATTCAGAATAATAAGATTGGTATAAGACACCACTGATGTGAGATTTTTGTAGTGGGGATAAAGATTGTGCTCAATTCTGGTTGCAATATGGGTAAGTAAGCACTTATAGCCAAGGAGCTGGATAAGAATTGATGGGAGAAAACTTACTAAGAGGAAACAAGGATGATGGGTATTCTGGCTAAAGTGACCAAATGAATTCTTGCAGGGGACAGCAAGGGTGATCAGGCTTGTGGGACCGTGGAGAGTGAGAAACCTGATGAAACATTGAGGCTGATCAGATATCAATGATGAATTGTTCTTGCTAAACTGACTTTTCAAGGTAATTTGCTACAACTGAATTTTACAAGTTTATAGAGAGGCCTAGAGGAAGGTACAGAAGTCTGACAAAAGGAATAACAGAATAGGAGTCACTCTGAGAGAGAATCGACACTAGGACCTAGAGTTGGAATTGTTTGCTTGATAAAGAAGTCACAATTTCTATTATGTTTTACTTGAAAATGTGATTAAAGACTGTAGAGGATTTGAACATGAGAAAGACACAACCTGTACTTATGACAAGGAGATGGCCAGTTTATTATTTTCTGTCTAGATCTGTTATATCAAACATGGGCTTGTGGACATTCGAGCTGAATGTGCATGGTCAGTGCAGCAAAACTATTCCAAGTGCCAAAGCTAATACAGGGAAAAAAATAAGGTATCTTTGGGTAAATTTAGTCCCAATTAAGTAGAAAAACATAAATTAAAGTAATACATATTTATGACCCTTAGATGTCTAATAAGTGAATATATAAATTAATTATGTGGAGAAATCAGGCAGGCTGAGTAAGTGTACATTAAACAAAAAATGTTGGAAATAGAAAAAAAATGCTCAAAGATCTTGTAGACATAGAATTGCCTTCTTGGAGTCATTTTTTCCCTCCAGACTTACTTATTCTATGTTTTGGTAACAGTTTATTCTGGTGGCCATTTATATGTTTCCATTACAGGTCACATAGACACTTTATTAGGCACAGTTCAATAGTTAGAGAAAAACTACAGGATAGAAGACCCAACTTCACACTTTATGGAAAGTGAAATAACTGGTTCTGTCACTGCCATGGGGCACACATATTGTTTCTTACATGTGCAGTCCTGGGTTAGCTGAACGTGTGATTGTGTTAAATTTGATGTAGAAATGCATGCGACATGACAGGGCAATTCTGATTTGATAATTTTATTGAAAATCAACCAAATAAAGAGTGAGAAAGATATTAAAGAGCAATGTAGCTGAGTGTAAACATTAAAAAGAACACATGGAAAAGACTCCATGTAAAGAGTCTGATTTTACAAAATTCAGCTCCAGTTACTTTTGAGAGGTGACCTTTATTTTCCTTTCTTTACTATATAAGATTAAGGCTGTCCCAGCGACCATCAACTGGAATCAAAGGGCTGGACCAGTCTGGCTTGAATAATTATCCCTGCCTGCAAGAAAAGGGTAATGCTGCTGCCTTACAAAGCAAAAGGTAACAGGGCAAACAACAGACGCATGGAAAAGCCTGAAAGAAAAGTCAGGAAAATGAGATAATTTGAAAAATAAGGAAGCATTTTGAAAGCTTTCACATATTTCTAAAAATCTTGAATGGCACACTCTGCCCCAACAAAAGTTTTGGGGAAGGCTAAGATCTCATGCATGCCTGAAATTTATTCTATGAGTAACAGGGAGTGAAGGCAAAAGTCGAGTTGTGGACTGCGTGGCTGTGTTAAAGGCATGGTTCATTGCAGAGGCAGACTACAATTGTGAAGATAGGAAATGCGTATTCTCTGGACAGTTAAAAATTCCTCTCTCCAATCAAAAGCCAGCAACCAATGAAACATGTGTATCAGTGATCACTGATGACAAATAATACAGCTTTACAAATAAACCAAAATGGTCACTAACTAAGTAACTGCAACTCACAACAAACAGTCAAAAAGCCCAGGCAGGGAGGAGAATTTGATTTCCAGATTTAGTACAGTATAGTATTCAGCATGTTTATTTTTCAAAAATAAAGATGATGAGGCAGCAAGATGATGTGTGACCACGTGGCTGTGGCTGTGGCTGTGGCCCACTGGAATCTGAGACCCTACATCACCCTCCGCAGAGCTCTGTGGCCTGGCAGTGAGAATGGTGTCCTGAGGCTTTGCCTGTCCTCTTCCTGGTGTCCGGAGGTGTTACCACCCACTTGCTCTTTCTTTTCTTTCCTGGGGCCTGAGATGGGGGCTGCTTCCCGTTGTAATTAGTGGGGAGGCTGGGCTGCCATCTCCCAGGAGGAAGGCAGTCCCCTCTCAGAGTACTTTCCCACCATCCACCCACAGAGACATGCCTGTCTCTTGGAGGGGGAAGCTTAGGGCCAGGTGGAAACTGTGTGAACAGAAGCTGAAAAGAGGCACCTCCCAGAGCTGTGAGCAGCCCTCCTAGGCCTCTTGGGGTGGGTGGTGGAGAGAGCCCAGCAGACTGTGAAGGGTTGTATCACAGGACTGGAAGATCACACCTACTTACTGCCAGAGAGTGCCTCCTGAAAGATGGCCTCCATGCCCTCACAGCCCCAGCCGAGGCGGAGTGGAAATACCAAATGCCTGCCTAGGACAGTCAGGTAAGCAGGGGCAAGCAAGGACTCAGGTCACAGGCACAGGGAGGCTGTGGGGGGTGGGCAGGGCTGAGCAGAGAGCTGGAAAATGTTCATCCCATCCCAGATTCGATCAGCCCTTGGCATTAGCTCCCCTGGTTTTCCCTGAGCCCTGACCCCCCTGGCTGGTTTCTCCTTTCCTCCTTGTCTTCTCCATCCCAGAGGGCCCAGAGGCTCAGCCAACACATCATCTTTCCCGAAATTGTAACTGTCTCCACACATCTGTTCCTTGATGACCCTCAACAACACTTGCACATCTTTCAACATTTCCAGGACCAGAAGCCCCACCTCTTAGCCAAACCCCTCCACAGCTGGGCGAAGTCCCCCTGCCACTGTTCTGGGCCAGAATATTCAGGCATTGTCCCCCCAACAGCTCTCTCATAGCCACGGCTCACCTGTCAGGAAATACTGAGGGCTCTCCCTTTGCTATCCTCATCACCATCCTCCCCTGCCACTGGGGTGTGACAGTCACTTCCTGCTTCCCACAAGCCTTTAGTCCAGCAGGAAGCCTTCTGAGCCCCTGTGACCTGTTGCACTCTCACCTGTGATGGCTTGCCTCACTGAGAGTCAACACCAAAGTCCTCACAGGCCAGCCCTGGCCTCTTTCCAACCCCAGAACTCCTAAAGCCATGTGCCTCAGTCTCCCCATTTGCAGCATGGGTGCTCCCTTCCCATCCACAGCCTGACACCCAGAGGCAGCTCACCCAGAAAGTGAGCTCTGTGGGCAGGCTTCCAGAGCCATGTCAGGGGAACCAGTCCCTCTACCACCCTCAAGAACCTGTCAGTGTGACCTAGGGGAAACAGTGTGTGTGCCTCAGCCCCGTGATGGCCCACATCCAGCTGCCTGCTGCTACTCCACGAGGGCAGTGTCCTTCTATCCCGGGGCTAAGCCTTTGACTTTCCCCATGAGGGCCCCAGCTGCTCTTCACTGATGGGATTGGAGCCCCTCCCTCATTCAGCCGGCACCTCCTAGGGGGGCCCTCCTCTCTAACAATCATCAGAGAGACCCTCATGGAGGGGGTGCTGCAGCCACACCTGCTGAGACCGCTTGGCTGCTCCTGGGCCAGGCAGCCACCCAGTGAATGTAGCCACCAAGGCCTCCTTCCTGCAGCCTGGTGCGGACCCAGCAGGTACCCTCTGTCACATGGACACTGAAGGGCACAGCACACACTGGGTGAGCTGCTGCAGCTGTTGGCTCTGATTTCTTCATGAGAAGAAGTCAGCGCCTGCAGTAGCTGGAGCCAAGCAGGATGGCGGTCCAGGAAACCAGCCACACCACCCTCAACCTAGGCAGTGAGCTCCATGGGACCCCTTCCAGGTTGGGGGCAGCTCAGCTCCAGAGTTCCCACTGCTGAGGACAAGTCGTTCCTGCAGGCAGGGCCACCCCAGGCCTGGAACCTCAGCAGGTGAGATCAGTGGTTGTGACGCACACACAGTGAAACGTGGCACACATGGGCTCAACATCCCCTCGGGAGGCACCGTGGTACCCTCTCTCTAGAGGCACACCAGTGGAGGCCACGGCAGCCATGAGTGAGGAAGGATCTGACACAGAGCCTGGGGTCCTGCCACACAACCCTCAAACCCCGGGCTGGAAACTTCCTCTAACGGGTCAGGGATCAATATTATCAGCTTTGGCAACCGTTTTCCATGCCAAGGACTTAACTGTACCATCACAGCCAGACAGCAGCCTTCCCCAGACCACCTGAACATAGACAGGCATGGCTGGGCTCCTGGAGAGCTTTATTCATGAACCGGCAACATACACTTCATAACATCACAGTGTCATGAAATATAATTGCTTTGATTTGTTTGAACATTTGGAAATGTAAAATCCACTCTTAGCTCATGGGCAGCACAAAAGCAGGTGAGGACAGGTTGCACTTGGCTGAACTCCAGCTGAGACAGAGCTCAGAGGAGTGGATGACAGAGTGGGCAAACCCAGGCCCCTCACAGTGGAGATTCACCCCAGGAGGGGTCCCTCTCAGCACTCCCCTTCCCACCCCTCATCTTGGCTTCAAGAGCAGCTCAGATGGAGAAGGGGGAACAGAATGAGTCTCAGCAACAAGGATGGAGATGCTGGCTCAGGCAGCCGTGTGGACAGATCCACTCAACAGTGCACACGGCAGGCACCACATACACCAAGCTGAGCACAGACACAATCAGCCCAGGAGGCTGTGGTGAGTGTTCTTTGGTGTGGGGGGGTTCTCTGGGCCAGGGAGCAGTCTCTACCCTCAGCTTCTGCAAGTGCCACACCGTGGTCATTTCAGAAAACACACACTGAGAAAAAGAGCAAAATACAAATAGCCAGTTGGATCTCACAGGCCAGTGGAGTGAGGAGGCCCTGGTGGGCCTACTAGGGTGGTTGGTGGTGGGCTCCTTCCTACAGAGAGGTCGGGTCCCCCAGCTCACAAATGAAGACCCACATAAAGTCCCCACAGGCTCAGGGGAGAGTCAGTCATCATTTGGCAAGGGAGTCAGAACTAGAGCCACAGGGCAGGTGAGGAGCCCTGGTCACATCACCCTGAGGGCTGAGAAGCTGGGGTGGGGGCACACATCCAGGGCAGGGGCATGCAGGTGGTCCCCAGACCCCTCCCCCTGCCCAGTGCCTGCCCATCTCCCTAGGTGCCACTAAGGTCTGAGACCCAGAAACAGAACACCTAGTCACCACACCCAGGCTTCTCTGCCAAGGCTAGACAGTGCCCAGTATAGGCAGGCAGTCTGGGTTTGGGGCTGGGACAAGGGTGGGAGTCCTACTGGGTAGGCCTTCTTCCCCAGATCCAGCTGGGATGTTTGACTTACCACTTGCTGTTCTGCCAATATGTAGCCTAGATGTCGGGGCCCAGCTGCATACTCTGGCCACAGCAATCACTGGCCCAATTCTGCCCATCCCACCTAACCTAGCCCCACATGCCTAGTGCCCACCAAGATCCTGCCAGCCAGGACCCATGCTCATCTAAAGCATTTACATGTGGCTGCATCCCATAGGAACCCACAGCTCAGAAATAGCCCCTGTGGACCCCCATGGTCAGGTGGTCTCCTGATCTAACTCCTAGCTCTCCAGTCCTGGCCATCATGTCTTCTGGGGACCACCAAGCACTGGCCCGCTGATGGCCCTGAAGAAGGCAGAGAATGGGCTGGTCATGGCAACCTCAGGCCTGGGCCCTGGCCTCCCAGAGACAGCTGGTTAGTTCTGATTTGGACTGGACATTGACAACAGGCCAAAAGACTTGGGTTTGGGGTGATATGAGGAACAAAGCGTTCTAGTTTTAGACCCACAGGAAGATCTGTGAAGCGCTCTTAGGTAGAGCACATATTGCCTGGTGTGTGCTTGAAAAGAGCCTAAGAAGAGGGCGCCACGTGGCAGGAATTCTGACGTCAAGGGTTCAGCCTTCCCGCTTGGCACCTGGGCACATTCCGAAAAGTTTCCTCCTAAGAAAGCCAGAAAAAAAGATCCAGGGGAGGCTAATGGCGCTTTACTGGGACTATCCTGCCTGATCCTCCAAACAGGGCCACAGCAGCCCATCAGTCCTCTGGGACAGGTGAGGAACCTGAGGTTCCGGAAGGACACGCAGAAGGTCCAGGCGGAGTCCCCTAAACCCCACACCTCCCCGCGTGGCAGCTCCAATCCCAGCTTTTTCACTAGTTAGGGGCTGCTGGGCCACACCCCCTCCCCAACTCCGGGACGTAGCTTCACGCGGCCGCCTGGCTGGGGACAGGGACCCGGTCCGGAGCTGGCTGCCACCAGGGGGCGCGGCCGCGGAGTCCGGAGTCCTGCGGCGTGTGTGCAGCGGCCCGCGCGCCCACTCCTGCCTTCCCAGCGGCCTTTGCCAGGACGCCAACGCCGCTCCGGACCCTGCCCTCCAGCGGGGCTGCAGTCCACGGCCTGCGACAGCCGCCCGGCCGGCAATCGGAGTGCTCTCCGGGGCAGAGGCCGGGCGTCCTCAGGCTGTGGCGCCGGCCTGCGACCCCACGCCCGGCTGGGGCCCGGCGGAGGAGGTCGCTGTTTCCCAGGGAGGGCGGCCTGTCACCCGGTCACCTGGAAAAGGGCTGGAGCGGATTGCAGGCGGAGACAACTGTGTGTGCGCACACCTGGGGGCGAAGGGGACTCAGCCTTCCTCACCCATGAAATGCAGGAGACTGAACCCCAGAAGCGGCGGGTTCACTGGGGCATTGATGAAGCAAGTCTGGGACTCACCGTAGCTAAGCTGCGAGTTCTGTGCCGGGGGTCCCAACACCCATTCCCCCAGGAAGACACAGGTTTGGAGGTTGGGTGCTTGTCTGGCCTCAGAATGGAGAGCAGGGGCGAGAGACACCAAGACACCAGGTACGGGGAACCCACCCTAGAGCTCTGAGGGACGACGATGTGCGGAACTAGTGGCAGAGCCTGAGCTGGCCCAAG